CCATACTCTTACCAATTGGGGGGTGGGGGGGGGCAAGCTTCCAGAAGCCTAAAAACCCATCCATCAGAGGCAGACACAAGAGGCAGTGAGGGGGAAAGACAAGGACAATTAATTGTTGATGGGGCGGCCCCAGCAACAGCAGACATCTGCTGGGGCACAGTATGTTTAAAGTTTAGGGACCCATGAGGGAAAAGAGGGTTTGCAAGCTGAAACAAAAACCCAAAACCCCCAGACCCAATACATTTTAGGCCAAATGAAGCTTGAAAAATACTCAACTTAAAATAAAGGCTTAAAAAAGCATTAGCAGTTCTTTCCTTTGTAGGGAAGCTGTCTGTAAGGTTTGAACTGCTGTGAATATGATTTGGATCCTATCCTGCTCTTTCCTGAGACTGTTTTCCAGACAAGCCCAGCTGTTCTGGGGAGGAACCCAGTGGAAGAGTCAGGTCCCCATCACTCCTGGCCTCCTCTTCAACCCCAAGCCAGAGGCACGCATCCAAACCGAGAGTGCCCTGCCCAGCTGGCTCCCCAGGTCCCCCTTCAGCCAGCCTGACCCCTTTCATTGGCCAGGGCTCTGACAAAGTCTCCACTTTCCTCTCTCAGTTCAGCGAAGTAATTTAAGGTCAAACTCTGATTTTAAATGTTCAGAATGTGGCTTCTCTTCCCCCTTCTCCTGATCATAGAAGCCGTCTCCTAAAGCAATGGCTGTCATCCTTGAGAGAATGTCAGAGGAATTGTTCAAATGCCAATTCCTGGGCCCTACCTCACTGGCATTCTGGTCCCATTAGCCTTTAATCTGCATTTTAACAAGCTCCCAAGGCAATCCTCATACTGGAAGCCCCTGGATCCACATTGAGAAACCTTGTTTGGAAGGAAATGGTACCACAGCCATACTCAGTTGCTGCTCACCTTCACCCAGCTGTGTCCTTGAGTTAATAACGAGCCAATGTCCCCAGGTGCTGCAGGGGCTCTGAGGTCAGCTGGGGAGAGAAGGGAGGGCTGCTCAAGAGAGATGGACCTGGGCTAGGAAGATTCCCAATTAACTGTGCAAAACAGGTCAGAAGAAGCATTGCATTTCTTACAACCTCTGTCTGAAAAACGTGTCAACCAGGGCTGAGTCATTTTTTTAGCCAAGAATTCTGTAAGGGACACAAGAGCATGTATAACACGGACGACATGGCCACAAGACAGGCAGACCAGATGCAGGCTTGGGAGCCATGAGCTGCAAGTGAATGAAAACGCATCCAATTCAGAATAAAATAAACATGCCTGGGCCCACAGCCAAGGAGAGTTCTTGGATTGGACTTTTATCAGGAACCTAAATTTTAACCAGCTGGAACTTCTTCTTTTCCAAGTACCACCCTATTCCTTCCTACCTTTTGAGATGAAGTATTTGCCTTAAATGGGAAACTTGCACTTCACTGTAAAGATGATGCCAGCATTCTGGCTTCCTGAATTCCTGAAGGAGCAGACATTTTAGGGGTAGAAATTGTGTTTCAGGGATAACAGACCAGAGAAGGTGCACCCCATTTAGGTAGGAAGCCAAGGAATGTTCCTCCTCCTCCATGGCAGGAAAAGCCACTAAATAAAAACCTGGGTGAGTAGATTTCTAATTCTTTGTTCCATAAATAGCCTTCTCAAACAATCAGCAAGACAAGGGGGGGGGGGGGCCTCAGCATAAGTGACTGATATAAAGTTACCCATCACAAACAAATACATTCTGCTATCAAAAAGCAAGAGATAAGACCCAGTATCAATGAGGATGCAAAATTTCCCCTCTGGAAGTTTTACAAATTGTTACTTCTTTAGGGAAACTATTATTCAAAGAGCAACTTTACCTGGCAAGGGCCCTAAGAGATCTATTTTTTTAAGTAGTCGAGGAAGTGTGCCCACAACTCATTTCTAAAACACTAAGCTGTGTTCAAGATGGTATCAGCCCCTAATTGCGCTGCTAATAATGGGGAGGTTGTGAAATCTGACCACTTAAACCAGGCCTGCTCCTCTGAGAGCAGCCTTGAAGGGTGTGTGAGCAGAGCTGGTGAGGGAGGGTTAGGTGGCCACAGTCACCTTGCAAGTCCTGGGAAAATACGCATTCCTGCAGTGGCCAAGAGTTCCTGGAGATCAAGGGAGTCATTGGCTCAGCTCCTCTCCAGCCCTCCAGATCGCCAGATCTTGCCCCTCCTGAAGGTTCTGACCTGGACTCACAGGAAGCCCCCTTCTGTTTGCATCATACATAATCGATCCTTATTCTTATATGTTCACATAACCCTAACTAGACTGTAAGCAACCTCAGCACTGAGAAGAACATCTCTGAGCTGAACACCCACTATCTGGTAGTAGACTCAGTCATGAGTCAAATGCCCAAGACACTGTACACCAGTACTTCCTGGCCAGTCCTCTGACCGAGCAACTTCTGGAAGAAATTAACTTACCTAGGGAGGCAGGAGCAGGGAAGGCTTCCCGCAGGAAGTGATGCTGGAGCTGAGCGGGGAGGCTGATGTGTAAGGAGAAGGAACACAGGCAGGAATAGCACGTGCATAAGCCTGCTGTGGAGAGGACACTGGAGCTTGGTGCTCTGATCTCTCCCCCAACTTCTTAAAAATCTATCACTTAATACAGGATTTAGCAGGATGGCTGCAGCGTCTAATTGGGGTCAGCCAAGATTTACAGGGCTCCAGGCACTGAGGACACCAATATAAGGTTAAATGCCTGCCTAAAGAAACTAGTCTGAAGACACAGATGTGAGAAATACTGACGATGTAGTCTGGTGAGAACCAAAGTGCAAGGACCTGCGAGAGAAGGTGATGAAAGGGAAAGGACATTCCCTGAGGAGGTATCACCTGAGCTGAATCTTAGGCCAAGCAGGGGGTTCTCAGGGGAGGAAAGGGCTTCCCAAGAGCAGGGAAAAGCATGCCTCAGCAGCATAAAGGGAAGAGGAGATAGGAAGCGGGGTGAGAGGCAGAGGGGCTCAGGCTGAAAAGATGGGTATGAAGGGCAGATAGGCAAGCTGGTTCGGGGAAAGCTGGTGGCTCCATGAGATGCACCAAAAGGCAAGTCCAAGAGAGGAGCCATATATGAGGTCGGGAAGAGCCTGGATGGCCCAGAGGCTTCCATGCTCATTCAAAAAGGGGATAAAGATGACCCAAGGAAAGGATAGGTGGAGCCAAGGTAGGCTGAAGAGGTCACCCCAACCAAAAGTTGTGGTAAGAGAGAGGAGGTCAGCATAAATGTGAGGCGACTGGGATGGGGGCCACCGTTAATTCTGTGTGGGTGCAGGTTTAGGGGAGAACACATTCCCATATGCAAAGAGAACAAAACCACCCAGCTTGGCTCCTTTGGGGCACTACTATACCCAGTGCATTAAAACTTCACAAGCTTTGTGCACTAGCACATGAAGCCACCTAGGCAATTACAGAAAAACAGCAAATTAGACTGATTCACCTATGCCATCATATGAAAACCCAGAATAAATGCCTGGGATGCTGTTAGTTATTCAAAAGCCAGCCTATCAGTCCAGATCAATAAATTTAAGAGGACCGGTAAGTCAACATGAGATAGTCTTTAAGGAAAACCTTTTGATTTGAAAACTGGGGGAAACTTGGTATCTATTTAAAAAAGAAAAACACAAAAATAGTGATATTTTACTAAAACAGGAGTGACAAAGTGTGATGTTTTACTCAAATAGGAAGGAGATTATATTCACTCTGGAGTGGGTGGGAGGCTGGGTTACAGCTGTGTACTGTGCAGCTTTTGGGTTTGAAGACATCCCAGGTGCCTGGTTCATACCCGTTTTTCCACACTGTGTGTCTCAAAGTGGGGAAAGTGAGCTGGAGGCAGCAGCCTGTGCCCCTGAAGGCTATCAGGTCCAAGGCCTTGACTACGCTGAGGCTGTTCTGAGCACTCCAGAAGAGGTGGATCAGCGTTTCTCTAAGCTACCCCATACCCATCCCTCAGAGCAACAGTCCTGGGACAAGTAGGAAATCCCCACTTACTCCCATTTTCCAGGTGAAGCCCGTGTCCTCTACACGAGACTGAAAGACATGAGTGCTCTGACTCCAGCAGGCCAGCCCAGGTTTCCGTGGGAGGTACGGGACAGATGAACGCAGTCTCCAGGTCCCAGGGCCGCCCAAGCCCAGAAACCCTGGTCAGGACCCGGGCGGGCAGCGTGTTGGAGCATCCAGCCCCTCACCCCATGCTCCACTGTCCAGACATCAAAAGAGCGCTCCGTTACGGAGAGAGGGCTCCAAGCACACGGCGTCAGTCTGTGCACCAGTCTCGTCGCGGGCACCTGACTGCGGTGACACACTCTTGCCTCCCTTTCGGCCGTGAAAAATCTCAACTCAAGCTGGGGCGGGGGGCGGGAGATCATCCGTGATACCATTCGTAGATGAAGGGGTGAACCTGAGACCAAAATTTCCCAGCAAGTGAGGAGTCGCGGTTGGGGTGAAAGTGGGTTAAGGCAGCCCAGACTAGAAGGAACAAAGCGGCCCAGAGAGGGGAGCGCATCCCTCCCCAGCACTCTGGATCCCCTCCCTGGCAGTCCCGAGATTCTGCAGAGCTGTAGACCAGAGGTCTGGGGAAAGACTCCCTCCCACTCGAGCTCCAAAGCGCCCCGTTAGAACATCTCGGAGGATCCCAGCTCCGGGGCGCGCAGCCCTGAGGCGGAGGAGGTCCCGGGACCGGAACAAAAGGTGGGGCACCCTCCTCCCACTCGCTGCCGGACGCCCCTCTCTCCAGTCCTCCCGGAGCCGGACTCCGGCCGGTGGCCGCGCCTCATTAGCAACACAAAGCCGGGGTTCCGGCGGCCCCTTTCATCCCGGCCGGGGCTGGCGGACGCGCGTCTCGGGTGGGAGATAGGTCTGGAGCCGCGGGGATCCCAGCCCGGCCGCGGACTCCGCAGAGAGCAATCAAGTTGGCGCGGGCTCTGCCGCCCGCGAGCACCTGTGCGCGCCGCGCCCGCCGCGCTTTTGGGGACTGCGAGAAACTCGCCGTCCTCTCCTTACCCTCCAGCCACAGGTGTCGGCACCCCGCGCTCTGCTGGAGCCACCCGCCGCCACGGCCAGCTGCGAGCCGTTGAGACAGGCGTTGACCGTGAAGAAGACGGAGCAGAGCTGCAGCCACGGGGCCATGGCCGTGCGCTCGCCCAGCCTGGCCCTTCTCTGCACCCCAGCAGCCGGCAGCAAGCAAGCCCTGAGTGGGCGGTGGCGCCGGCGGCAGCGGCGGTGGAGCGGGCCGCACCACCGGGCATGCGCTGCCGGCCGCCCCGCCCCTTTTCTCCGGGCCCCGCCCCAGCCTCGACTCTGTTGTTTTGGCCCCGCCCCTCCCAGCCTGGTCCTCCTTCTTGTTTGTTGGTTTTTTGGTTTTTTTTAGTTGAGCCATCCTGCCACCGGTTGGCAGCTCAGCGGCTGCTCAGCTGGGGCAGGGCATCGAACCGCTGTTGCTCAGAGCTCAAACTCCTGGTCCTCCTTCTTAGCCCCGCCCCTACTGCTAAGCCTATCCCTACGGACACGCCCCGAGTAACCGCTGAGAAGCTGGCAGCTGCAGTTTTTTCCCCTCTCACCTGAGAGGTCTTTTTTATAATCCAAAGGATTTGTGCAAGTGAAGCCTACTGCCTTCAAAAACTCGGGAAAACAAAGAATATAATAATAATAATAATAATTTTAATAGTAACTTAATAAGCACCTACTCTTTGCCAGGCCTCTCCTCGAATTCTCCCAGCCACACGGGTAAGTGTCAGTATTATTGTTATCCCAGTTTTCAGCGCAGAAAAGTTAGGGTAATGTAGTGGTTAGAAAAATCCTGGCTGGACTTCGGACAAATAATTTGCTCTGTCCACATCACTGTTCCCTCCCCCTGAAACTGGAATAAAAATAAGAGTACCTTAGTCCGGGGAGGATTCTATTGGTTAAATGCTGCCATCTATCATTAACTATCATTGCATAAGGTCACACAGCTGGTACCTGCCAGACCTGAGATTCAAATTCAGATCTGACAAAACCAATACTCTTAACCACTACACTTGTCAAATTTACCCTTGTGAAGTGGGTAGTACTTCTGTTTGGAAGAGAAAGCTGAGGCTCATAGAAGTGAAGAAGCCAAGGTCACGTAATTTTTCACCACAATCCTCCCTGCTTTGTCTTATATCTGTGCACCTGCTTCCTACCAGTTGGCCCTTCTCCATTCCCTCCTCACTCATCTATGCCACCTCCTCCTCCTTCGCTAGGAGAACTGTTGGTTCCATGCTCTGCTTCCTTCTAGGTCTCCCCTCACCCTCCCTGACATTCTTGGTACTCTTCACTGGGTCATTCCCACCTCCCACCCTCACCCCCCAGCCAGGGAAGTCAGGGTTTTGGCTATGAATGTCAGGCGCTGAGATGAGGCCAGGACCACATAGGTGTTGGTGAAACACCACAGAAACCATGAGACTGTCCGCTCCTTAGGCTCCTTCATCTATATGACATTCCAGCCCAGGTATGCTCCATAATTTATTAACCACTCCCCTGCTGAGGGGCTTCTATTAAAATCAGTGATTAAAAAATATCCTCACATATTTATCTTGATACATTTATTCAACTATTAGGATACATTTCTAGAATTGGAACTGCTGGGTTATGTACATTAAAAATTGCCAAACTGCTCAAAATCTCATTGCCATCTTAATTGGCTTTTCTGGTAGCTAATGAGGTAGACCATGTATTTAGTGGCCATTTGCATTTCTTTCTTTGTTTTGGAGTTAAGACTCCAGGGAAAGGATCAGTACTTGGAGCTTATGATAGAGGGAGAAACTTAAGGAGGGAGTTGGGGAAAGGAGAGCATTTCTCCCTGGGTTTTACTTAACATCACCGTATGACGGAGTGCTGCCCGAGGTCAGAGCAAAGCTGTGGCATTTCGAGTCTCCACACCCAACCACCATTGTATGTCCCTCCACCCACAGCTCACTGCCATGCTGGCCACTGACAGTCTCTGAAAACATACTATGGAGTTCACAGAGTGCTACAACTTTTCTAAAAGAATATGGAGGACACAGGAAAGAAAAGGCCTAAGTGTCCACTCTAAAACATGGTTAGAATGACATACCTCAGGACCAGGGACTGAGAGGCCCTCCGATTTACCTTCTAGGCAGGCCATAAACATTGGTGTAGGGTGATGGGAGAACCACATATATCAAAGGGTCGAATTTGGTCAGGAAATAAAGATAATAAGTTGGCATTTGGCAACATCCTCCAGATTCTGATCTTCTCTGTTGATTCTTTTCCTCTCATCCCTGCTATTTATCCTGACCCTTCAGAATATTCATGAGGCTCTAGGAAGTGAACCTCTGTATTGGGAGCTGAGCTAAAATGAGGGCCACATACAGCCTCTATGGACCACAGGCTTCCTCCTAAGCCACAGGTGAGCCCAGCTGTGCAGGTGGCCACAGAATGAAGCACTCCCCAAATACAGCACGTGGTCTCACCCACAAAGGTCACGATTGCCTATGGCCCAGTCACACAATTTCAACCACCCCTCACCATCCCTGTCTGATTCACCTCTCTGCTTCCAGTGCCTAGCATTCTGCCTGGCACACTTCAGTGGGCAAGAAACTATTGTCACCTCCATCCCTGTTGGGAATGAAGCCGGGGATTAAATAGATTAAATCACCTTAAAATAAGCTGTTGACAAAATGCAAATATATTTCTCCAGTTTACCTAGAATCTAACCAGATAAGAAATATCCTTAACACAGGATTGGATTTTGTTAGGAGTTGAATTATCCCAGAAACACAAGAACAGATAAAGTGATCATGGAAACAATTTGTATCCTGAATCATTTTTAGCCAACAATAACTAAAAACATTTTAATAAATAGTGATTAGAAACAGTGGGTCGAAATTCTAATTTAATTTTGGTATTGTGATCAAGTAATAGTTTATGTACTAAACAAGACATTAAAGATAAAGGGTATCCCCACCCCTACCCCCCAACCTCCCAGTCTTCCAGCACGCTGAGGATACAAGTTTCCCAGGGCTTTGGGGGAAGCTGTATGCGGAGAACTGGCACCCTCCTGAGAGCTCCCAGCCTCTGTCCGGATTCCCCTCAAGGCTGTCTGGACACTTGCATCACCCCACCCCACTCCACCCCACCCCTCATCTTGGCTGGAACGGGTTTTAGTTGTCACCCTCTCCACTTCACAGGTAGGGAAGCCGAGACTCAGAGATGAGGCCCTAATCTCATCTGACCCATCCCACCACTCCGCCACCCACCACCTCCACCCCCCAACACACCCGACTTTGCCACGGGCACCAGCACCGCATCCTCTCCAAACAACCCTTGGAGCCACTTAGACTACGCACAGGCCCGGGCCAGGGGCGGGCGGAAGGCCTGGGGAGGATGACCCAACCCCGCGTCTCGAAATCTCCGGACACGCATCGCAAAATGGCACTGCGGTGCACGCCGCCCCTACTACACGGAATTTACTCTTCCACCGCGACTTCCCATTCTTTTTCTAGGAGGTAATGAAACACCGGGCGCCCGGTCTCCACGGTGACCGCAAGGGGGCGCGCGCGGTCCAGGTAGGAAGCGCCCAAACAATCCCGGACTACATCGCTGAGAATGCACACCATTCTAGGGCAAAGGTCCCAGTGCAGGGGCAAATACTCTCTGTTACCCAGAGCTGGTGCTAAGTTTAGGGAAAATAGAGTCCAGGAAGAGGTAAGAAAAGAAGGTTCAATATGGGCTTTAGTAACCATGTGGCTTTGAACAATTCACTTAACCTCTCTGGATGTGTTTTCTCAACAACACAGGAATGCCATGGATGCACACCTCAGTGGATTTTTGCAAATATGAAGTAAGCAAATGGCTATGAGGTGCATGAACATAACTGTTGCAGGGAGGTAAACAAGGAGTTGATGCAGCCAAGCCTAGGGGCAGCTGGAACCCCGACAGTAACCTGGGGAGGTGGCCACCTCTACCTCCTTCAGGAGCTAACACCCTGGTTTGGATCTACACTAGACTGGAAAGCTATGGACTATATCTTGTTTATCATTCATTCATTTATTCATTCACTTACTCAACAAGTACTGATGCAGTCCCTGCACCATATCAGGCTTTAATTATGCCAGAAGCTGGGGACCAGTGTGAACAACACAGACACTGTCCCCAACAAGACACTGTCCCAGCTGTCATAGAACCTACAAGCAAACATTCCATGGGGGACAATGGCATTACTCAAACTACATGACCAGGAGATACTTGCAAGTAGATGGATTGTGTCTAAAGAAGTGATACCTAAGTTGAGGTTGCAAGCATAAGAGTTACCTGGACAAAGGGGAGGGGAGCAGAGAGGGGAAAAGTGTTCTGAGCAGAGAGAACAGCATATGCAAAGGCCCTGGGGCATTAGGGAAGATGGCATCTTCAAGGAACCAAAAGAAGCCCTTGTAGATGGAGAGCAGAAAGGTGTAGAGGAATGGTGCGAGGTGTGCTGGAGAGACCTGCAGGGGTAGGCCCGCAGGACTTTGTACCTAACAGAACCTGGCAGCTTCTGAGGAGTTTAAGGGTAATGACAGGGCTATATTTTGAAAAGGTCCCTTGTATCCCAACCGAGTACAGGCTACCACACTGCATTGAGTCATATTTGATACATATTTGTTTAATGAATGAATAACCAAGATCATTGTTGAAATTCTGGGATTTAATGTCTGGAATGCAAAAATCATTAAAAAGCCTGGAAAAACATCCAACCCTACCAAAGCTCCAAATCATGCAAACAAAGTAAAACAAAATGCATAAACTTTTCTTGTTGTCTTTTAAGGTTATTTCTACTGTAAAGTTCTTTATTATTTTTAATAGAATATTTTTAGAACAATTTTAGATAGAAAAACTTTAAAGATAGTACAGGGTTCCCATATGCTCTGTCCCTTTATTATTAATATATTACATCAATAAAGTACATTTGTTAGAATTAATGAAACAATATTGACAAATTATCATTCACTAAATTCAAGTTTATTCAGGATTCCTTAGTTTTTATTCCATGACCTTTTTCTGTTCCGGCGCCCCATCCAGATACCACATAACATTTAGTTACTATGTCTCGGGATCCTCTTGACTGTGACAGTTTCTCAGACTTCCTTTGTATTTGATGACATTGACAATTTTGAAGAGTGTTGGTTAAGTATTTTGTAGGATGTTCCTCTGTTAGGATTTG